TTGTTCTTAATCCTCAAGGGAACGCAAGACAATAGTCTAGTTCTCTCGAACAATACGAGAACGCTACGAAAACGGTACAGTGTAAACACTGCCTAAAACATTGTCATTGATCTTAATGAGCATATATTACAATAACAATGGAGCTATAAAGTATTTATCTTTACGAGTAGAGAGTACTACAGTGTGTGTCCAAAAAAAAACCCAAAACTATTGAAATAACGTATTGTTAGAATTTGAATGCCTCAGCACTAAGTTGAACGCAAAGATGCGTAAAATATTGTCAGGGTGCACAAATTATAAATATTGACTTATTAAAAAATTAATATATCTTTGTAAAGCGCACGATTTTCTGCTCTGATATGTCCCTTTTTTAAGCCGGTTTTCCACTAGGCGGAATTTTGCGCGCGGAGCGGAATTTTTCTTTGTCTTGTGATTTCTTGGGTGGAACTAATTAGAAAAGACAAAGAAAGAAGCCGCTCCGCGCGCAAAATTCCGCCTAGTGGAAAACTGGCGTTATACACTTGTAGGTTCAGCCGAATGCCGAGGCATTTAAATTTTAACAATGCGTTATTTCAATAGTATTTGGAGTTTTTTTGGACACCCTCATGACTAATTGTTTAGCAAGCTAATTTAGCTAGCTAAACTGCCCGTATCTGCATAAATAGTACACATTTTTAAATTGAATCGTAGTAATTTGACTGGGCTAAGAACGGATTAGTCTTTTCATTCAGATTACTACTGCAGATGACTGCAATAGGTTAAGACTAATTTGAATTTGAAAATATATCTTATTTATACATTCTGCTCGTGTACTATATATAGTTCGCACTTGGCTTAACTTATACAGGGTATATCAGACAAAAGGGCGTAGATTTAAATAATATCACGGATATATCACAAATGGTTAAGGCCTGCAATATCACGGATGGTTAAGGCCTGATTCCTTAAGGCCTGATTCCACAACGGCGAAATTCCTCGAGCTAAATCGTGTCTGTGATAGTTGCACATGAGTGATTCTATTGAATTTGCACATTTTTTGTCGCTTTCGCAGTGAGTGAACTGACTTCTACTCACAGGCGAGGTGAAATGTTTTCTCGCGAAGCCTACTTTAACTTTACTACGCATGCACAATTTATTTCGTGCGAAATGTTTCGCATTTTGCCGAGAAAAAGCGCTCGTGGAATCAGGCCTTAACGGTGAGTTTCGCATAAACCGGAGTAGAAGATAACAATATAGATAATGAGTTATATTGAGTACTGATCACGGAACCTTGTTTGCTTCATTAATGAAGTCAGCGGTTTGTTTTTCTATTAATCACTTTCGGAATTACAGTTCAGTATTTCACCGGGAAACATTTAAATCCACTGCTGTGGCATTATCGTCCCCTGATTCAGCGGCATCTAGGCACAATACATGCCCAATCTGGGCAGTTGGCTGGCTTTGGTTTGGTGACGGGGTGGAAATTTTTTTTTCTTTCTGGAAACCTGGGTCAAAGGCTAGAAATTTTCTGTAAAATTTGTAATGTTACAATTACAATATAACAAAACAAATGCATAATTATTGTATTATTTGTAATTGTACTTTAGTAATAATGGGCTTTAGGCTGGTTTTCGTACGCTTGTGCATCACAATAGTTGTCTGGTATATGCCACAGTTATGAGTTATGACCAACTAGTAAGGATCTTGATTTTTTCTGTGTTGGTGTTATGTACTAAGGTGAGCATGTTAGTGATATTACTCTGAGTGTATATCCACACTGGGCAAACTTGAAAAATATGCCTGGCCACGATGGGAATCGAACCTACGACATTTGGATTACTAGCCCAATGTTCTGCCAACTGAGCTACGTAGTCAGGTTGGTTCGTGTATGTGATATTTCGGAACTGAGTTTAGTTTCTTCGACATCAATGTAATCTAGTATTCCAAAGGTCGTATAGGTTTGATTCCCACCGTGGCCAGGCATATTTTTCAAGCTTGCCCGGTGTGGATACACACTCAGAGTAACATCACAAACATTATATTCACCTGAGTACACAACACAAACACAAAAATTCATGATTTTTAGATTACATTGATGTCGAAGGAACTAAACTCAGTTCCGAAATATCACATACTCGAACAGACCTGACCGCGTAGCTCAGCTGGCAGAGCATTGGGCTAGTATTCCAAAGGCCGTGGGTTCGATTCCCACCGTGGCCAGGCATATTTTTCAAGCTTGCCCGGTGTGGATACACACTCAGAATAACATCACAAACATCGTAGTAAGGATCTAACGCTTAACTGTCCTATCATATTATTTATTCCATCACTTTTATTTGTTTACTTTTAATTTTCATTTTATTGGAGACTTTGCAGAGCATATATTTACCATTTTACCAGTCATTGTGATGGCAGGGGTGGGTAAAAGAATTAATTTCTGTCAAATATTTAAAAGCTGCTGGTGTTAGCATGTACAGTGTAAATAAAGTAGAATAGTTTTAACTTGTAAGTTGGGTAAACAGAGTTATCTCAAAATGTTGAAATATTTTCTGGAAAATTTTCTGCAAAACTCTCAACTCAAAAAAATTTCGGGAAACTAGGTTCCGATACTTTTTCCACCCTTGGTTTGGTGGACGGTTCCCCTTGCTGCCTGGGAATCATGACACGTTTAGAGAGCCCTGGCAGCGAATCTACATGAATCTTGTCCAGTTTCTCTTTGCCCGCCTTAACTCTCTGCTTTCCCAGGAAAGCTTCCGCATTTTATAGTGCTTTACACGCTCTTCGTCCACATCGCTCTCCTCCGTGGACATATACTCTATTCGCAAGATGTCAGCAATCATGGCCCCTTTATCTTAGCTCCAATTCATCTTATTAAGGTATTTATGTCTTCTTGCCAATTTCTAAAATTAAATACAGATATTATTAGCGACCTGAATTAATATAGCCTAGTCATTACCTTTCATCTATACTACGCATATTTAACAATTATTCGCCGAAGGCGAGGTGATTATCGCTGAAACTCAGAAGCTACAGTATACAATATAATTTACTATCTTATGTTTGTCTATAGGCTTATCTGCACAAATGAATAGAACAATAGTTCTTCGTCGCCACGTCGACATTAGACCAGTACAGGGGTGGAAAAGTAGCATGTACAGTGTAAATAAAGTAGAATAGTTTTAACTTGTAAGTTGAGTAAACAGAGTTATCTCAAAATGTTGAAATACTTTCTGGAAAATTTTCTGCAAAACTCTCAACTCAAAAAAATTTCTGGGAACTAGGTTCCCAGGTTCCGATACTTTTTCCACCCCTGGACCAGTAAAAGTTTAACGAAATTGTTCAAATTAAGGAACTTAGTCAAAACATTATTATTAGTTGTTTAGAGAAATATACAGCCAATTAAAAAAAGGCTGTCCTTTGGAAACCTTAATCTCTGAACCTTAAACTCTAAGCTCGCAAAGCTTAATGGGAGTACAAGTTTCAAGCTATAGTACTGTAGTTAAATATCGCAGCTATTTCTGAATGAATTGTTCTCGTCAGGAGATATTTACCATGTCTCTAAGGAATATATATATGATTTCTAAACTGATTAAATGATGCACTCATTATGCTTTGCACGTTTAGAGTTTAAGGTTTAGACTTTAAGGTTTGCAAAAGACAACTTGTTTTGAATTAATTGTATACCATACAAACATGACGACGAAGGTAATATTGTATAGGAATTCTATACAAACATTGACAAAACATTGTCATAGATAAGAATCATAATTTATATTATGCTAAGCCTAAGGAATATTACACTTTTCAATGCGCAAAGAAAATCTCGTCGTGAAAAACAAGCATCGATCTTCTATTTCCAGCCCTGCCTCTGTTGAACATTTCTCTTCTTAAATGACACCATAAAATTAGTCGAAGAAGGAAATTGAGAAAATTAATCATTATACGCTGATTAAACTCACCTCGTCCTTTCGGCTTCTCCTTCTGCAAGAACGATTATATGGTTTTCGTCTTGACCACTGGCAACTCGTTTTTGCTTAGCCTTACATGATACATGGTATCGCCTGAATGCTTCTAAATAAAAATAAAAATAAATATATATTAACTATCAACTTCCGTGTTTACGTTTCTTCTTTGCCTAAAACACTGGATATTTACTGTAGTTTGGTTAATATGGATGACAGTGTCCTCACCTGTACATTACTGGTACAAATCCCAAGTGTACAAGCATGGACTATAACTGTACTATTTACATTCAAGCATACATTGCAAACCTTTTCACGCGTTAGTTTTTGCTTGAAACGTTACGTTTATCAATAATTTGTCACCTTTCACAAATACGGATTGACACGTATACGATTTGCACATTTTATTCATTTACACAATGTGATGTATGGTAGCCAAACAGGGCCTTAGACTTAATGAACAGTATACATTTTAGTTGATCTTAGATGAGCATAACAAAATTTGAAGGTTCATTGAACGAGAAATATCAACCTTTCAAAACAGCAGGTGACCATGGACAATTCTCTGCTCCACCAAATTCATGATGAATTTCTTGAATAAGTCTGCCAAAGAGTTGAGCGTTTTCCTGAGATTCCGGGCTAAAGGAAATGGCAAAGAAGATTGATATTAGCACATACATACTACTAGCATGAATAATAAAATAAATGGATAGGTGTCTAAGGTGTCTACGTGTCATGGCTGTCGGTTGTGCCTACTGAGCTCCTCAATAAAGTTTAACACCATGAACTAAATCAGCCATCAGCTACCAAAATATACTCGCTATTGACTGTCCAATTTATTATTTCATTACAATTGACGATATTTCCTACAAATTACGTACTCGGAAGTAAGTTATAGTTAAAGAATGAGTGTCACTCGAGGCCAAACTTCGAAAGGCAAGATGGCGACGGAAGGTGAAGACATTAAATCACATTTGTTTAAACTATTCTCTACCGACCGGGATCTAATATCTAAGATTGCTGAAGCGCTTTCCAGCACAATTGTGGACCTCGTTATTAAATCCGAGGAATTTATAAATGTTGTGACGGAAAAACTCGTCAAAGACGAAAATATAATCGAATCCGTTGTAAATAAAATCGGCGAGTCAGCCAAGCAAGAAGTCTACGAAAGTCTATCTTATGACCAGAAATGCCTAGAGGATAAGTACTCTGAACTTAACGCGAAACTTGAAAAATTGGTGGCCGATCTTGAAAAAAATCGGCTCAAACAGATTGATGAATTAGACAGCATCAACCAATATGGCCGCCGAAATTGCATACTTATAGCCTACATGGCGCTGCTGAAGTTAAGGGGGAAGATACCTATCATATCGCTGTGACCCTGTTCAACACAAAGCTAAACATACCAATCAACAAATCTGATCTGGACAGATCGCATAGATTAAACACCAAAAAATGGAATCAAAATCGGCCTCGACCCATCATTGTAAAATTTAGCTCTTACAATAAGAGAGCTGAAGTATTTAAAGTCAAAAGGCGACTAAAGGGATCTGGA